CAAGACTGAGAACTGACTGTGGCTCAGAACATGAACTCCTTTTGCAATATTCAGACTTAAATTTAAGAAAGTAGGGAAAACCATTAGGCCATTCAGGTATGACCTAAATAAATTAAATCCCTTAAACAGTGGAGGTGACAAATAGATTCAAGGGGTTAGATCTGGTGGACAGAGTGCTTGAAGAACTATGGACAGAAGTTCCTAACATTGTACTGGAGGCAGTGACCAAAACCATCCTAAAGAAAAAGAAATTCAGAAAGGCAAAATGGTTTTCTAAGCAAGCTTTATGAATGGCTGAAGAAAGAAAAGAAGGGAAATACAAGGGAGAAAGGGAAAGATATACCCAACAGAATGTAGAGTTCTTAACAATAATAAGGAGAAATAAGGCCTTCTTAAATGAACAGTACAAAGAAATAGAGGTAAACAACAGAATGAGAAAGAATAGAAATCTCTTTCAAAAACCTGGAAAGATCAAGAGAACATTTCATGAAAGGACAGGCATGATAAAGGACAGACATGGTAAGGACCTAACAGAAGCAGAAGAGATAAAGAAGAGATGAAAAGAATACACAGAAGAACTACACAAAACATCTTAATGACCTGGGCAACCACAATGGTGCAGTCACTCACGTAGAGCCAGATATCCTGGACTGTGTAGTCAAGTGGACCTTAGGAAGGCCCACTGTTATGAACAAAGATAGTGGAGGCGATGGAATTCTGGGTGAGCTACTGAAAATCCTAAAAGGCAAGATGGTAAAGGAATAGGACAGGGAGACCACTCTTTCCTCCACACATTCTTCAAAAGATCATTTGAATGCTGAGCAACTTCCACAAAACAACTTCTGAACACTGGCATAGGACACCAGGCACCCAGAAAGGCAGCCTAATCTCTTCAAAAGGAGGTAGGACAAAATATAAGACAAAACCTGAGTCAAAGGATTTAGGGACAGAGAACCATCTTGGGGAGGGAGTTGGGAAAAAGAAGTCTCCACATAGTAGGAAACCCTCTCACAAGTGTGTTTGTGGGGTGTTTTGGGATCTCTGAGGGCAACATAACTGGGAGGAAAAAAAAAAAAAAACATGCATACAATATGTGCCTAACCACAACGGCCAGCTAGGAAGTTGCCCAGACATTCGCGACCACCAGCAGCGAGTGGGGGCTGGCCAGGGAGGCGTGGGCTGCATCATCCATCCTCAGGGTAAGGACCAGGCTTGAATACCCTGAGGACAATCTGAGGGAGCTAATGTGAGATAGCAACGCAAACCAAGGGATCGCCAGAGAGACAAAATAATAATAAGACCTTTCCTGCAAAAGTCTCATGGTGACCCCTGGCACACTCACAGAACAAAGGAGAGAGTGAATACTAAAGGAGAGCAAGCCAGCTATAGGAGCCTCCCTCCCCAGAGGCAGGCAAGCAACAGCCAGAGCTGGAAGGCAAGGAGATCAGCTCCCCAGAGGAGACACACGGCACACCTGGGGCCGTGCCTTCGCTGTGCACCCAGCGAGCGGTGGGAACTGGGACGGCGAATAAGACGTTCCGCCTACCTGGGATGGTGTGTTCGCCAAGCACCCAGCCATCTGAGCTGCTCGGGCCTGGGAAGGGCACCAAACACACAACCCAGCCAAGTCTGTGGCCTTGTGGAGCGCCCGAGAGCCCGCGGCTTAGACCTGGGAAGTGCGGGAAAATGCGGGGCCCACTTGGGACAGTGCTCTTGCAGAGCACCCTGGAGACCGAGCAGTGTAGGTCAGGAAAGTGCACGCCACCTTGGGTTGTGGCAAACCCAGCATGAAACCCAGCGTGGCCCACCCACTGCGCGCACTCCCCACACATGCCAGTAGTATTTGCTTGCAGTATCCCTCCCTCCCCACAACACAGCTGAACAAGTGAGTCTAAATAAGTGGACACCTTCACCCGCCTTGTGTCAGGGAGGAAATTAGATCTTGAAGAGACTTGCAAACAGTGGAAGCCAAAATAGACAAAGAAGGGGGAACCACTTTGGAAGCAACAGTTGCAACAGATTAAAACCCTGCATTTAATACTGGAGACATCTCAGGGGCACCTATAGACCTTGAGAGGAGAAGGCAATGGCACCCCACTCCAGTACTCTTGCCTGGAGAATCCCAGGGACCGAGGAGCCTGGTGGGCTGCAGTCCATGGGGTCACTAAGAGTCGGACATGACTGAGCGACTTCATTTTCACTTTTCACTTTCATGCACTGGAGAAGGAAATGGCAACCCACTCCAGTACTCTTGCCTGGAGAATCCCGGGGACGGGGGAGCCTGGTGGGCTTCCGTCTATGGGGTCGCACAGAGTCGGACATGACTGATGTGACTTAGCAGCAGCAGCAGCATAAACCTTGAGAACAAGTACAAGCAGGAACAAGGGACTATCTGACGCTGAACCGACCCCACACTGCCCACAACAGCTCCAGAGAAATTCCTATATGTAATTTTACTATTATCACTTTTTAGTTTAAAAAAAAAAAGTTTACTTCTTTATTACTCCTTTAGCTTTCATTTTTATGGCCTACTATTACCTCCCCCCCCACAAAAAAACACCCTATTTTTAAAAAATTCCATAATTTTAAAATTATTGTGATTTATTATGTTTTGTATTTTTATATTGTAGTTTTGAGAGTCTAACCTCTAGTCTAGGTTTTTAATCTTTGTTTTTGATACTTGTTATCAATTTTGTACCTCTAAAAATCTATCTTCAGTATCCATTTTCATGTAAGGATTTGATTACTGGCTTGATTGCTCTCTCCCCTTCTGACTCTCCCTTTTCTCCTCCAGGTCATCTCTATATCCTTCCTCCCTCTTCTCTTCTCTACATAACTCTGTGGATCTCTCTGGGTGCTCCAGACTGTGGAGAGCACTTAGGGATTAAATTAATGGCTAGACTGTTCTCTCCACCTTTGACTCCCCTTTTTTTCCACCTGGTTACCTCTGTCTCCCTTCTCCCTCTTCTCTATATAACTCTGTTAATCTCTCTGGGTGTTCCTAGCTGTGGAGAATTGTTTCACCAATAAACCTAGGGGTTTGATCTATGCTGTAAGGATGGAGAAATCATGAGGCTACTGTAAGAGAAGGACTGAAAGCCGGAAACAGGAGGCTTCACTCCAAAGCTTTAGAGCATCAGAGAACTCCTGACTCCAGGGAACATTAATAGACAAGAGCTCACCCAAGAGTCTCCACACTTACACTGAAAGCAATCTCCACCCAAGAGCCAACAAGATCCAGTACAAGATACAGCATGATAATCCTCCAGCAAAACAGGAACACAGTACTGAACATTAAAAGACAGGCTGTCCAAAGCCATGCTAAACCCATAGAAACCCCAAAACTCACTATGGGACACTTTGTTGCACTCCAGAGAGAAGAGATCCAGTTCCACACACCAGAACACAGATAAAAGCTCCCTCAACCAGGAAACCTTAACAAGCCATTAGTCCAACCCCACTCACAGGGAGCAGACTCCACAATTAAGAGGAACCACAAATTTCCAGCCTGCAGAAAGGGCACCCCAAGCACGGCAATATAAACAAAATGAAAAAGCAGAGAAATATTCAGCAGCTGAAGGAACAAGATAAAAAACCCACCAAACCAAACAAAAGGGGAGGAGTTAAAGAGTCTACCTAAAAAATAATTTAGTATAAGGATAGTAAAGATGATCCAAAATCAGAAAACCAAATGGAGATACAGATAAGTAGACTAGAAACAAGGATTGAGAAGATCTGAGAAATATTTAACAAGGACCTAGAAGAAATAAATAAGGATCAATCAATAACAAATAAGGCAATAACAAAAAAAGCACCCTGGAGGGAACCAAGCATAGGATAACTGAGGCAGAAGATAGGATAAGTGAGGTGGAAATAAATTAAACAGAGAAGAAAAAACAAAAAATAATTGAAAGAAATGAGGAAAACTTCAGAGACCTCTGGGACAAGGTTAAACTACAAACATTAGAATCATAGGTGTCCCAGAAGAAGACAAAAAGAAAGGGCATGAGAAAATACTTGAAGAGACAATAGTCAAAAACTTCCCTAAAATGGGTAAGGAAACAGCCACCAAAGTCCAAGATACCCAGAGAGTCCCAAACAGGATTAAACCCAAGGCAAAACAACCCAAGACATATTAATCAAACTAACAAAGATCAAATGAAAAGAGCAAATATTAAAAGCAGCAAGGGAAAAACAACAAATAACACACAAGGAGATCCCCAAAAGGATAACAATTTATCTTCCAATAAAAATCTCCAGGTCAGAAGGTAATTGCAGAACATAAAGTGATGAAAGAGAAAAACCTACAACTAATATTACTCTACCCAGAAAGGATCTCATTCAGATATGAAGGGGAAATCAAAAGCTTTACANTAAGTGATGAGCATGCAAGATTCCTCAGTCCTGCTTCTGTTCGACCTAGTACAGTACAGGCCAGATATCACTGTCTCCCTACTTACCTAGTACAGACTTTATCTGTTCAGTATTATAAAATGTGTTTTGATTTACAGAAATCACTTTTCAGAATACCCTGAGCCATACATGTGAACTGACTGCATACTAGACAGCATTAGTTTTTAGCATTAAGCGGGCTTCTTCCTGTTTATACTCATCATTATGACATCTGTCATTTAAGATTCAGAATCTTTACCTATACATTGTATCAGCCATTTCCCATAAGAGAAACTATTTTAAGTATGTTATATATAATTTTTCAGCTAATATTCTGTGTCCATAAGAATACTGAAAGGGAAATCTTTTTTTTTTTTTAGATTTTGCTCAAGATGATCAGAATAATATGATTCCTACAGAGATATAAAAGACTATCCATGGGGAATACAAAATTTAAACTGAATGTTTTAGAAATATTAAAATTCATACTTATAACACATTTTTGTATATAATGATTTTCTAAGGGTGAATGTAACACTGCAGGATGTTGTTGCTTGATTTTTAATATAAACGTCTAGAAATTCTTTATAGGCCAGAATATCATCGTTATAGTAGCTGGAGCAAATTTACTTTTGAATACAGAAGACCTGAGGGAAGCAGCCAGTGCCATTAGCAGAGCCAAAGTAATGATCTGCCAGCTAGAAGTAACTCCTGCAACTTCTTTGGAAGCCCTGAGAATAGCCCACAGCAATGGAGTGAAAACATTGTTCAATCCAGCGCCTACCATTGCTGACCTGGATCCCGAATTCTACACCCTCTTGGATGTGTTCTGCTGCAATGAAAGTGAGGCTGAGATTCTGACCGGCCTTGAGGTCGGCAGCCCCACAGATGCTGGGAAGGCTGCATTGGTGCTCCTGGAAAGGGGCTGCCAGGTCGTAATCATCACCTTAGGTGCTGAAGGATGTGTGATGCTGTCACAGACAGAATCTCTCCCAAAGCACATTCCCACGGAGAAAGTCAAGGCTGTGGATACTACGGGTGCTGGTGACAGTTTTGTGGGAGCTTTGGCCTTCTACCTGGCTTACTACTCAAATCTGTCCTTGGAAGAAATGCTCAAGAGATCTAATTTCATCGCACCGGTCAGTGTCCAGGTCACAGGAACACAGTCATCTTATCCATACAAAAAAGACCTACCCCTTGATCTATTTTGATTGCTATTAACTCCAAAGTAAATATACCTGGAAATAAAATGTACTTAGGGATGGTCACTGTTAATTAGCAGCTTACTATAAAATGTCACCTCCTTTCTTTGCAAATATTATGTTCATTTACCAAGTCATCCTCAAGCCTTCAATTATTTCTTTATAATGATTTCTTTGCTTTTCATGCAAAAGTCAACTAGACAGAATTAAGGATACTACAACAAAGACCTGTACAAACAACCCCACCATTCAGGAACCAGCAAACTCTACTGCCAACACATCATGAATACTGTTATGTACACCAAACAGCAGAATTTGCGAGCAACAGTGTTTAGAATCAGAGCAGAGAATGTTAAATAAGGGAAAGATGACTTGGGCCACACAAGCAGTTCCTAAGAAGGGCAGCTGATATTCAGCTTTGCCTTGAGTGTTGTCAGAGCTTCTGGTTCTGCAAGAGAAGCCAGAAGTTTACATGTTTATTGAAATCTTTCAACATTTAAGTATCAGCAACTGAGTTTTTTAACATTGTAAACACCACCTGTGGGCCACTTTTAGCCTATGTGCTAAATAGACAAGTCATTTGCTAAGCCAGATTTTAAGTTTTTTNGAGAAGAGAAACATTTGTACACTGTTGGTAGGAATGTAAATTTGTGCAGCCACTATGAACAAGCAGTACTCAGGTTTCTCAAAACATGAAAAATAGAACATACAATTTAACTGTGAGTATAAATTTAAGAGAAATAAAACAAAGACATTTAAGAGATACTTGCACCTCTCATGTTCATTGAAGTATTATTCACAACACCCAAGATATGGAAGCAACTTTAGTGTCCATCCAGGAATGTTTAAAGATATGATACACAAGCAGTCAGTTAGTCACTCCAGTTGCTCAGTCGTGTCCGACTCTTTGTGACCCTATGGAGTGCAGCACACCAGGCATCCCTGTCGATCACCAACTTCTGGAGTTTACTCAAACTCATGTCCATTGAGTCGGTGATGCCATCCAGCCATCTCATTCTCTTTCATCCCATTCTCCTTCCGCTTTCAATCTTGACCAGCATCAGGGTCTTTTCAAATGAGTCAATTCTTCGTATCACGTGGTCAAAATATTGGAGCTTCAACTTCAGCATCAATCCTTCCAATGAATATTCAGGACTGATTTCCTTTAGGATGGATTGGTTCGATCTCCTTGCTGTCCAAAGGACTCTCAAGAGTCTTCTCCAACACAACACACAGTTCAAAAGCATCAGTTCTTCAGTGCTCAGCTTTCTTTATACTCCAACTCTCACAACCATACATGACTACTGGAAAAACCATAGCTTTGACTAGACAGACACTTTTGGGCAAAGTAATGTCTCTGCTTTTTAATATGCTGCCTAGGTTGGTCATCACTTTTCTTCCAAGGAGTAAGTGTCTTGTAATTTCATGGTTGCAGTCACCATCTGCAGTGATTTTGGAGCCCACCCAAATAAAGTCTGTCACTGTTTCCACAGTTTCCCCGTCTATTTGCCATGAAGTGATGGGACTGGATGCAATGATCTTAGTTTTCTGAATGTTGAGTATTAAGCCAACTTTTTCACTTTCCTCTTTTACTTTCATCAAGGGGCTCTTTAGTTCTTCTCTTTTTGCCATAAGGGTGGTGTTATCTGCCTATCTGAGGTTACTGATATTTCTCCTGGCAATCTTGATTTCAGCTTGTGCTTCATCCAGCCCAGCATTTTTCATGATGTACTCTGCATATAAGTTAAATAAACAGGGTGACAACATACAGCCTTGATATACTCCTTTCCCAATTTGGAACCAGTCGGTTCCAATTTGGATCCAGTCTGATACACATGCAAGCACACATAAACATGCTACTGAATATTTTTCAGCCACAAGATATAAGAAAATCCTGCCATTTGTGACAATATGAATGAAACTGGAGGGCATTATTCTAGGTGAAATAAGTGAGAAAGAGAAAAGACTATATGGTATCAATAATATGTGGAATGTAAACAAGTTGAACTCAAAGAAATAATACTTTGGTATGTCATGTGATGAGATGACTCATTGGAAAAGACCCTGATGCTGGGAAAGATTGGAGGCAGCAGAAGGGGATGGCATTGCTGACTCAATGGACATGAGTTTAAGCAAACTGCAGAGATGGTGAGGGACAGTCCATGGGGTCGCAAAGAGATCGATATGACTGATCAACTGAACAACAGCAGCAATATAGAAACAGAGAAGAAACAGAGAAGCAGCCAGGAACCTGAGCAGCGTAGAGGGGGAAAACAGCGCGCCGCCCCCCCCCCCCCCCCCCC